ACATATATTATTTTTTCTAATATACTCTATCGAAAATGTACCTTCACCTTCTGCCGCTCTCCCCACCTTCAATGACTCGATCCCCACCCATTGTGTTCCTCTAAATTATTCATATAAATATGTTTGGTATAAAAAGAATTTCATACTTACTAAATATCAGAAAATAAGTAAGAAAATTATTTAATTAGGAGAAAAACATTTTTCGTGAAAAGCGCATCTTCCTTCCTACCAAACACACAATAAATGTCACTGAATTTCTCATCGATGCCACTTCCTTTTAGCTGCATGAATCCAAATTAAGATGTCTAGGATTGCTTTTGAACCACTAGACATGGTAAGTTAGCAAGTCAAATATGGGCGAATAAACTCTCTAGCTCGATGCATGTCTGTTAGAATTAAGAGGTAGAAAAAGAAAATGACAAGTGACAAGACTTGATATGATTTTATGGTTTGTCAATGACTATTGTACTCTCCATCTTTCTACAGTTTAATTTAGGTGTAGGAGATCAATCGATATCACTTCCTACAGTTTAATTTGTTGCTTTTTTATTTACATTTAATGCAATCTTTTAGTCCTTAATAGAAACTAAATTATACTAAGCGACAAAATATGGTTGATTAGTTTGCATGTTTAGTTTAGACTTCTAGAGTATTCTGAATTTTCGATTGAGTATAACTTAGCCTCAAATGCTAGTTTATAAGGCTAAAATTATCCAAATCCTATCGACAAACTATTGGTTCACTCTTTAACCAATACGAGACTCTAACCTACTCTAATACCCCATACCCCACCTTTCATGCCCAGAAGCCCACAACCAAGTAGAGTGTGGACCGAGGGATCAAGCAGGGATGGATTTGCCCGTATAATATCAACCTCAAAAGCTAATTAAGGAAAAAATTGGCCAATTTTTTTTAATCTATTTAATAATGGAAAGATATAATTGGTTAAGTCATAAAACATAAACATACCTTTAACTTAGCCTCAACTGATATTTATGTCCTTCAACTTTAAATATCTAATGTCTACAAGTAGACATTTAAACTTGTATAAAGTTGAGCAAGTAGGCACATACGTCTTGTGTGGCTTCCTATGTGGAAACTCACATACTACATGGTGTTCTACATGCATTATGTCACGTAAAACACATATGTCTATTTATTCAACTTTATATAAATTTAAGTATCTATTTGTCTGTACTTAAAATTAAAGGGAAAGTTGGTTTCCTTGTTTAATAATATGTAAGTAGTTCTACTGTTAAGATGTCATAGTACAGTAATGCATAGTGTGGAGAAGGGTAGTCTAGGACAAAAAAAGAAGAGTGGTACAGTATCTGACCTTATGTGAAACAGAAATAGGAAGAGTTATGTGGGTATTGCTGGTTGTTAGCTTGTAAGGCATCTTCTATTGTCTGGATGGATGGTGCCTTTACAATCATTCACACTAACTCTTTTTTTTTTCATTCGGGGTAAAACGGTCCTTAACAAAAGGGACTACATACCCAAATCCAAGGGGACTCGAACTGAAGACGTCTTGCTTAAGGATAAAAGAATATTTACCACACCATCACACCCTTTATTGGTCAGACACACTTCACTTCCTTTTAATTACTTCCAACTTAAATGCTACCTTTCACACTCTTTAACATCAAAGAGAGAGAGAGAGAGGGGACAATTTCTTTTCTTAATTAATCCGTTATGTTTTCTGTACCAACAACGCTTCCTCCGCTTCTGTTTTAATTTGTTTATCATATTTTACTGTTTGAAACTTCGTACCAAATCAAAATATGATAAATAAATTGAAATTAAAGGAATATACTTTTTTTCATACGTCAGGTTAATGTTAACGTACAATTTTAACGGATTCGGCTCCTCTCCATTTTCCCCAAGTTTCTATTTAGATTAATGACACATAACATAGGTTAAAATAAATGGCTAAGATTTAATTTTCCAAAATAAATCTTTAACCATGACTCTTTACATCAAGCTTGTTATGGTAATCTGAAAAATATATAAAGCAATAACATATCATAATCCGTTTATAAATACTTAAATTTCAATACTCGGATATAAAAAAAAAAATACATTGTCCGTGTTGAATAACTTAAACTAGATATTTTCTTATTGCTTATAGTGTGGGGAAACGTAAATTTCATTTGAATTCGGTATTTTGAACTTGTGATTTTAAAAGAAAAGGAGTTTAATTTCTAAAAAATAATAATTAATTATTGAAGTGATTATTAAGTTTAAATTTTAGATCCGACATTTATTTATATCGTAGATAAGGAAATTAACAAATCATGAAAAAGCAAAATAATTAGGTGACTATCAATGTCATTAATAATTGGGAAGTGGGAATTAAGGAGGGTATGTTTTGATAAAGTCGAAATTAGGAAATATTGATTTTATGTGTGTATTAGGAGGAGATTTTGCTCCCAAATTGGATGCCGACTTGCTAGATTATCTTCCAAAAAGAAGGCAATATATATATATTTTGGAGTGTCAAATCATGGTATAGTAGTTTTAAGCTTACAAGATTTTCTACAAAGGGACCACTCCTCTTGTACCTTATGCTTTCAACCCATGTGCTTCTTTTTTTCTACAATATTATGAATATAAAAAATGTTTATATGACAACCAATCACAATATACAAATATTCATCAAGCTAAAGTTTTAAAATTACAACCCATGCATTGAATATGCCAACTGTTACCAGTTCACATAAACTCCAAGTTACACCACATATACTTTTTGGATTCATTCAACCATAGGAAAAAATTGAAGTGTCTAATAGAAAAAAGGGTTTGTTACGATGTCAACAAGTTTATAGGACCGTTTATGACTTTATAGCCTTAAGTTAATGTAGAAATACTAAGGAGACATTGATGATGACCCTCATATATGATGAGAATGTGATTGTGATGTTGAATTATCTTAGAGAATATCTATTTTTTTTTCTAGACTTCTTTTTAATGAGCTAAGTTACTACTTGCTAAACTTTTTTTCATGGATTGAGTAACCTAATATACACTAGGTCTATTACTTTTTCTTAGACCTCTTTCATGTCATTCTATCTGCACATAAATAAAGCATGCATGTAGATTTGAGTTATATACATTAAAATATTGTAAAACTTTTTTATACTATCAAGTTCAATTAATCAATCCGATCATAGTAGATTATAACTTAATTTTTCAAATCATTATAAAAAAAATAATCTTTGAGAAGTTATAGGTTTTTATCATTATAAAATACAGTTAAACTTCTCTATAACAATCACTAGAACTTACCTCCAGGCTCCAGTACTAGTGAGTAAACAGTAAACTATACACTTTTTATGGTAAAAATGAATAAATTATATTTTTTTGCCAAAATTACCCTTTTTCGTGGAATCAATTTTCATGTTATGATATATTATATATCTCCATAACAATGTTTTGTTAAAGCAACTAAATATTCGGACAAGTAATATTATTATAAAGAGGTTCGATTTGATACTTACTCCCTCCAATCTAATTTGTGTTGTAGCTTTCAGATTTTGAGATTCAAAAAAATCCATCTTTGACCATAAGTTTTCATATATATAATATATATATTGAATTGTATCATTATGACTTATAATATTATTTTTTACGTAGTTTTCAAATTTATAATTTTTATTTAAAAAATTGAAAATTCTATGTTCGAGTTCGCAATCAAAATTAAACTTCCTTGGAAATCAATCTATGGTACATAAATTTGAAGAAGAAGAAGAAGAAGTATGAATATCAATAAGCTATTGGGGGCAATGATGGGAGAAATTCATAGAATATTGGGTGTATATATATATGTGATGAACTTACTCTACTTCAACTAGTACACATTATTTTGCTGTCAAACTCATGACTCAGCAAACCCGTTAAGAGAGGGCCCATTAAAGAAAGTGAACGGTCCAGATTAGTAGTTAGTGGGCCATAGCCCAGTAGGGTCATTAAAACCCAGCAGGGATCTTTAAAGTGGGAGCAGAGTGCGGTCTCTTTGTATAAAAAGGGGAAGAATGATACACCTGTTTGTCAGTGATACCTATTGTACAAACGAGTTTTAGCCCTAATGGGCCCTCACCACCTGACCTAACATCTAAAACTGATAAGGTATGGGCCCCCACTAACTCCAATTACTCAATCCCATCTCTCATTATACTATTTTATCAATATTATTTTCTTCGATTCAATTTGTTTGTCTTGTTTTTATAATGACACGAAGTCAAAAAAAGTAAACAAGAATTTTGAATTTTGTGATTAAAAATATGTCAGATGCACCAAATACCCCTTTAATTTTTGAATCTTAAATATGTCACCTGGAAAGTTGGAATTAAAAAGTTACTTCATTAAAACATTAAAAGAAAGTAAACCTGTCTTTGCAAATTATAAGAGTTGATTATTATAAGTTATAAGTGAATGTTAACAGCTTTTATTTCCACTGTATTTTGTACTTATGAAAGAAAATTCTCATCAATAATATGGTTAACTTGCTTGAGTTGCTGTAAAAACAAGAAATTCATAGCAATCATGATCAGAACACAAATTCTTGTTTATAGGGCTAGTATAACTGTTCCATTTCCTACATTATAATAGGGTGCTATGCCTTGTTGTTTGAGTGAAATCTTTAGGTTTTACTGTAGAGAAAGAAAAAGGGTGGGTATAGGGGGTAGGGCAGTAGTTATACATGAAATAATTGATTTAAAAAAATGAATTTTCGATCTAACATAATCAAAAAAATTAACTTGTGAGGTAAAGATTGAGTAAGTTCGAGTCATCTAAAGCAACAGCCGCTGTGGAACAACTTTAACACCCCTACACTCTTAGATTTACCAATTCAAGTGTGAACAACATAACATGGGGGAAAACATCGGGTAAAACCAGGACTGGAATTAATGTATATATCTAATTCTAATCCTAACTCAATCCTAAAAACTATTTAAATGTTCAGACATTTACACAATAATAAAGTGAAAAAAACTTACTTTGCAAGTCAGTAAAATTATTCTTTAGGATACACCCATGCACAGCCAATACATATATAGTAACTTTTTGACATGTACCTCGCTCTAGGTAAAATGAATAAAAGGGGTAAAAACAATAATGAAGATGATCAATAACAATGTCTACCGTTACCAACCAAATATAATAGTACTCCCTTTGTAATAAAAAAAAATAAAAATATTTCCCTCTTCAAACCCTAAAAAACCGGCAGGCAAATAGTAATCACACGAAAAAGAAGAGGTGAAAATAATAATAATAATAATAATAGAAGCAAATTCAAAATTATAGAGCAAGCCTATAATCAAACCTCACGTATTGTGTGTTTAATTAACCATCCCAACCTTTTAATCACACAACACTCAACTTTTTTTAGGAATTATGGTGGCTTGTTGAATCATGACGATCATCACCACCGTGATGCGAATGTGATCCACTAGCCTGAGATTCCGATACACCGGAACATGGTCTATATGGATTTAGTCCGGTGACCATGCCTAATTGGCCTTCTCCGGCTAGTGTACTGCCATTACCACTACCACCACCGCCGCCAAATTGCTGAGTTGGCAATAGTGCTACAGGAGTAGGAAAATTCATAAAATGTAATCCACTTGACATTGTACTTCTATACAAAGCAGCACCAGAATTATTAACCGATGGAAACGTCCACACTGGATCGCCTCCCAAAACTTGGGTATTGTTATTATTCGTCAACATCCAAAAATTAGCTGGAATTGAAGAATGAGTAGCTGGCATAGTCCCACTACTTGATGATTGTAACAAATAACTCCCCATTTGTTGTTCGTTCTGATGTTGTTCTTGTTGTTGTAGGTCGAGGTCATGTCGCCTTTTTCGCGATAGGCTTTCTTCTATACTTGTTTCCGATAAATCTAATGAATTGTCACGCATTTCTTGTTTAGCTTGGAACTGATGGAGACTACTAGGGTTCGAATTACCGGTCTGAAAATTCAACAAAGTTGTTGCAGATCTGTCTGATGATAAACCGATACCCTGAAACAAACTGCGCCTTTGGGAGAGTGAAAAATTCGGATTGAAATACGAAGATCGAAGTTGAGATGGTACGGACATGCTGGATCCTGAACTACGTAATGAAATGTTGAGTGACGTGAAATTCGCCGGAATTGTACCTGTTGAAAAAAATAATAATTTAGAATTATTCTGGGTTGATTGGTTACTCAACTAATAGTTATTACTATTTTCAGACAATAAATTGGAATAAGGAAAATAGTGACTTTCTGAGATAATAACTATTAGTTGAGTGACTTCTTCAACATTACCTGTTCCTGTAGCAGCTATAACGGCAGGTTCAGCTTGTTGGAGAAGCCATTCGATGGTTTCACCATCGGATTTGTGACCGAGTTCTCGAGTGAGCTGGAAAACCCTAGCAGCACAAAGGGCTGGCATACGTATACGTCTGCCACGGCCATCGACCTTAGTGTGGCGGTCTTTAGTTGAAGTTCTCTTGGGAGCTGGCTTTTTTGCAGTGTCAGTAGAGGCAACTGTAATTTGAAGGTCGTTACTATTAGGGTTTATATTCGTATTTGTATCGGATGGGGAAATGGCTAGCGAAGGATAATTAATATTATTAGCTGCGGAAGAGCTTGAACAAGGTTCGTCTTCTTTTTTTTCGAGTAATTGGAAAGGGAAGTTGTTAGGGCGATATTGTTGGTGATGTTGGTGGTGCTGGTGATTGTGATGGTGATGATGATCGTCACCTCCTCCTCCTTCCATGATCACTCTTAATAACTAAAAATTCAAAAAAATAAGAACTTTGTTTTATGAGAAATTGAGTTGACTAACCTAAATTTCTAATTTTTTTTTCTAGCTAGAATGAATCAAACTATAGTGTCTTTCTTTTTGTTTTGCTAACTTTGTGTGTGTGTGTGTGTGTCTGTGTGTTTGATTGGGAATTGCTTGGGCAGTGATGTGTTGTTTGGGTTAATGGGGAGAGAGAGATGTGAAGAGGAAAACTTGAAGCAACAAAGATAATGAGTGGGAATTATAAGGGGTAAGCTTTTAAAAGCAAAAAATAAATAAAAGAAATTGAACAAAGGGGAAAAGAAAATATTTGCTTTTGTTGGGGGTCCTTTTTTAATGTCGTTTCGACAAATATTAGTTGGAATATGATTTAAATGAAATAAAATTGTTGAAGGAAGGGGTTTTGTCGTGCTATTCTTTTTATTGTGGCTATGACAGAGCCTTTGGTTCAGACTCCACGTGAGGTGCTCTTTTTATCATTCAATCCATAAAGACAATGGTGGCCATAGTGGGTCATACTATATATAATTTCTAAGTCAAAAAATTGTGAGACTGAGAAAGGAAAGATTTATCAAATTGTGAGTAGGTCCCCTTTTTCATTCATGTAATCATTTCCCCCTTTGCCTTTGTTGCCCAACTTTGCTTGCTTTGGGATTCCTTCCTCAAATCTTATGATTGTGCTCTAATCTCATCACTAATATATAGTATTCCCTCCGTCTCAATTCTGGTATCTTACTTTCTTTTTTAGTATACTATATATACCAACGTCATTAAACATGTCAAGTTAACATCTTTAATATCAGATTATAAAATTTAAAAATTTCTTATTATTTTAAAATTTTTGTGCTCAACCAAATTAAGATGCTTAAATTAGAACAGATGAGTATAGTTTGTAGATCACTAACTTGTATCCATTGTTTCATTCTCCAAATTGATCAGTTAGGATCCGTTGAATTTTCTATCTTAGGTTTAGGCTAATAGGTGGGCCAAAAATAGCTAAGGGGGTCAAATGACAATTGTATATTATTTTTTATGATGAAGTATATGCAGTAGTACTAGACAATCTAGGTCCACCATATTGTACTATCATGTGGAGGAAATGGTGAATTTGATGATGATATTTACTATAGCTACCCCCTTCTCTTGATGTGTACTTACATATTTAGCTACCCTTAACCTCCTGCTTTTATGAATTAATAAACGCTGCATACATAAAAATGTATATATAGAGACATTGTCATTATTACTGTTATGAGGCCCTTTTGGAAAAATCATGTGGTTTAATTTAAAATAAATAATATCACATTATGTTAAGACTAAATTGATAAAACGTAAAGGGATGGTGTGATATTATCTATTTTTGAATTGATCGATATTATCTCATTTTAAATGTCGTTAATATAACCCAAAAATCGTGTGGGTTTGGCCCTAAACAGACAGTAGTACCTAATATTAAGAGTTGGTACTTTTTAGGCTAACTTAATTAGCCTAACTAGAAGTCATTCAGATCTAATTTTGGCTAGCTGTGTTATCTTTAAGTAATACAGGGATAAAATATGAACAACTTAAATCTATAAACAAGGTCTTTTATTAATTTGCCAGATATATTTAATTTAGAAAAGGAATGATAACTAAAGGTGGGTGTATCTTGGTCATTTGTATAGAAGCTACTTTAGCATTGTCACCCTAGTTCATGTATATACTCTTAATTCTTTTTTTTTTCGTTACATCAAACGTATATATAATACTCCCTCTATCCATCTTTACTTATTCATGCTTGACTTGACACACTTCTTAATAAATAATAATAAAAGGATAATTTTGTTATATCGTCATTCCTATTGATTATAAGTGATCATCTAAATATTTGAAAATAAAGAATATTTAATAGCGTAGTAGTATATTATAGTTTCGTCTACACACCTTTTGGGGTGAGCATAAGATAAGAAATGGCATGACTGCAAGACTGGCAGCTATAGGATTTAAAAGTAGTTATTTAAGTATGTGCCCAGGTAACGCCCTTTGCATCAACATCTTCTGTCACAAATATTATACTCCTTTCATTTTGATCTAAGTGTTTTGGTTTGACTCAATACGATGTATCTACATAAATTTTATGATCTTAAATTTGTTCGACATAATATTGTAATTGAAAACTTATTATTTCTTTTTATAAAACATAATTAAAAAATGCTTAGATTGAGACGCACAAAGTAAAATATTTCTACTGACATTCTGTCACCCCTTGCCTATAATCATGAAGGAACTAAAATAAATAGATAAAATAAAACCCATATTTGTCATGGCATCGCAATGGGCACGAGGAAAAAGATGTGGGAATTTATATTAATATCAAAATCGACTGAACATATTCATCAAATGACAAATTAATATTGACATACTATAGCGTTGATTGATACAGACTGGATGCTATTATTTAAGATTCTTCTTTCCTTTTATTTTTGTTTTTCTGCTGTTCTTTTTTTCTCTTTTTCATTTTTTAATTTTATTAAATCATTGATATATATGAATTATTTTTCCAATTATGATACAAGATAAATTGAGTAATTGTTATTTAAATTTCTTTTCTTTTGGGAGGGAAAAAATCATGATCAAGTAACAAAAAAAGCTTCAAGCAGCTGTTCTTGTTAATTCTATAAGAAGTACTCCGATCTAATCCATATTAAGTGAATTATTAAAATTATGCAAAAAAGTGAATTTTTCAAAGTTCAAGAGGTTATTGAGACTTTTTGTCATATTTAGCCTACTTTTTAACGATGTTCTTAACTATTTTACATTTTATAGGAACATAGTTTAGGAATAATCAAAAGGCTAATAACACTACCCAAAAATGGTCTTTAGCGGCAATTAATTAATGACAATAGCTTAATTTTCACTAAAAATATATATTTTAGCGGCAACTAACACGCTTTGTAAATGTCCCTAAAGCCTTTAGCGACATTGGATCCAATGACAATTAACTAATGTTGGTAAATGTTTAGCCCTCTTTGCTATTATGTATATTTATTGCCTCTAGAAGGTATTTTTATTGTAGTGTAAGCAAAAAGTAGCCTTCGTTTTATGTCCTTAAATATTTTGTTTAAGGAATATGTAATACCCCAATAATTAACTTAATATGGACTAGTGAGAGTATTTTTTTGCCCTATATTTATGAAACACCATTCTAAATAATTCTAGTTAGTTTTCAAATCACCATCAATGGGACTTCATTGCAATTATATATATACTATATATAGACTAAAGTTTAATAGGGTCGTAATTGGTGCCTTGTCAAAGGACAATTATGAATTTATCTTCAAACCTACAACGAATTCATGATAATTAATACTTTCGAGTCTTCAAGAGACTAATTAATTATTATACTAAGGCCTAGTCACCCTATCCATTGATTGAAGAGATTATCATCAAGATGTCCTAATTGGCTACAAATTAAATCTAGTGTGTACTTAATATATGCTAAGACTAAAATAAATTCAAAAAATTGATTCATGGAAATACTTTGAAGAGGCTAGCTAGGAATAAGGTGCAAAGAAAATTTGTAATACAAATTTAATATGAACATGTCATGAAATAGTCAAAGTCATAAGTCAAAATTTGACTATGTTAAACTTTTTAATTAATAGCGAGCCAATATTGATTAGTAGTAATAATATTAAGGAGTCAAAGATTTGACTAAAACTATGTTTCTTATCAAATTAAATGCTCAGAGTCAATTACAGGGGACGCTCAACAGATCTCGTGGCCCAAGGCAAAATCATATTAAGAGGCTCTTAAATTTATTTATTAAATTTATACACTAAAAAGAAAATCTATTTTCTACACAATAGATTAATCATTTAAGACAAAAAATATCAAATTTCACACAAAAAAGAAAGAAAGGATGAAGAGGACAAAAAACAAAAGTGATGAATTATCGATGTTAAGCTTCAAAACTCAAATTGAAATTTTAATTTGGCTACCATCACAAATAAGAAAAAGAAAAGAACATACATAACTTAATAGTTGAAGTTTTGAGCATGGATAGTAACAAAAATTACAAATTTCTAATCAATTTAAATGACATAATTCTTTTAAATGATATAATTCATTCCATTATAAGTAGCACTCATTGGTGAATATCTAAAACAAATTATAAAATTTTCATATAATATATTAAATTAAAAAGAAAAGGAAACTTGTGCATGAATATTTTTATGTTCGCGTAGTTTAAGAAAAGATTAAATCTTTTTAATTATGTTATCGATATATATAAATAAATATATTAGTTCTTAAGTAAAAAGGATAAAATTTAAAATTGAAAATTAAAACAAATATATCAAATACTCTCAAATAAATAATAATAAAAAATATACAATAACAATTTTATTTATAATAAATTATATTAATATATAATAAAATTAATTATAATAATTTAAACAAATTTGGGCATTCAAATTTTTCAGGCCTAAGGCAACTGGCCAAGCCTTAGAGCCGCCCCTGGAGTCAAACAATATACGCTAAAATGACTCATTGTTGACCAAATATCTCCATGGATTTCTATGATATAGAAAAGAAAAGAAGAAGGAAATTTTGTGTGTTTGTCTTAATCGTGAATGACGTCTTTTCAAGAGCATTTCGATACATTTACACATATTTTTAATTTAATATTATAAAATCTAAAAAGTTCTTCAAAAAATTTTAAACTTTGTGTCTAGCAAAATATGACATATATGTAAGATACTAAGCTGGAATGCACCATAGAAAGACTTCTTATTAGTTTTTACAAACCTTGTTGATTAGGTTCATTATTTTATTTTATAGTAATTATTATCTTATCTCTGTATTTTATTGTTATAATTGTGAATATCAAGGTAGAAATTTTTAAAAATAGAAACTATGTACTAGTAAATTCCTAAGCGATTTTAGAGTAGTAGGTATGTTCATCTGATCTTTCACCAATGTTAATCTTTGGTTACCATTACCTACGAGAGTAGTATCATCACGTATGCAATTAGTCACATAATTTACTGGTAATCCCTAGCTATTATTGACAAATTGGATTTCTTAATCCGTAGCTAAATGGAATATGACATTTTTATTGTTAGCTATGAAATTTTATCGGTTACTTTCTCATAGTGTATTAAACTGTAACATATATATATCTGGAGTTTATTAGAGAGCACATGGAAGGGTGAGTTTGCATGCAACAACATTACAACATGCAATTTAATTAGGTGTGTAATATCATAAGCTCAAAC